CAGTACGTATAATTTGACAAATTACTATAGAGCCCTGGAGTTAATGCACAGCCTTTTCGACCTGCACAGTAGGCAGGTACATTGCCTTCATGTTTTATGTATAATGTATTTATCAACACCCACCCCCTCAATTCTCCTGTAGAAAACCCATGAAAATATTACACCAGAAACCCAGAGCAGACTTGGTTTCCCTGCTTTCCTCAGGTATGAAGCATGGTGATTATTACTGTGCTGTGTTGTTATTGTGAAACTACTGCAGAGCTACAAAACCAACATTGTGTCCTCCATCTCACAGCAAAGCTTCTACCTTGAAATGGTTGTGGGGAAAATGGCATTCATGTGAAGGTCATCGTAACACTGGATATTGCAGTACAGCAGTTTGGGCTATAAAGTTAACAAAACCAGTGCCAAAAAAATATTCTGTAAAATTATCACTCAAATGAAGAGACCACACATGCACAGAGAATGCAGCATTGCTCCATTGTCTCTTCGAGGACCGCACCGCAGACTGCAGATCAGATGAAACACGGCACAGCCTCCATCTTCACCTGGATATGACACTCCTGCACGGCCTCAGCCGCTGATTTATGCTGGCAGAGAAATGTAAAAGATGTGTGAGGATGCCTGGAGGAAGAGCGTGAGTCTTCCCGTCCTTGTCGGCATCTGAGCCCATTAAAGAGTCTTTCCATTAAAGAGTCTTTCCATTAAAGAGCACTTAAGTTAAGAATGAGTGGTGTGGGAATAGTACCCACATCTTCTTTAGTCCACACCTACTTAATATGGTAATGTATTCATATTGACTGTCTTTGTAGGCTGTGGTGTATTTTATAATTGTTATGTAGTCGATATTAAAGCCAATATACTGAATGTATATTTTTTCTTGTATGATAACTTCATTTTGAATCGTTTTTTGGGGATTCACAAATGTCTTATTGGTTCAAACTGAAAATGTCCTTTAATAATAATTTAGCAAATAACCTGGATGTTTAAAACAAATTCTTAAAACTTTTTCGTCCAAGTCATATCCTGAGATGCCATTCCCACAGAGATTTAAAGGGCAAGAGCTTCTTCCTCACCATGAAATGAAATTCAATCCACCCTGAACGACCTAAAACGGTTTCAACCACCTGACACAGCTCACCACCCTCTCTCCATTTTCACTGGCGTAAGAGCAGCTGTCGCTCAGTTTGTGGAGTTGGAGGATCTACGGCTCCTCCTTTGTGTACTTGAGCAAAACACAGAACCCCAAATTATACCCGCTGTGTTGGTTTCATAGATCCAAAAAAGTAAGCTACATTTATATAAAATAATATTCAATCATTATTTCCATGTATTGAGATGTATTTTCTATGCTAGTTTTGTAAAGTGAATTTGGGAATATAGTAAACTGAATTGATCCGGGCAGGTGAAGGAGAAAGCCTGTTCAACACTTCCTCTCAACTCTGTGGAGCTCTTAGTGTTTTCGGCTCATTGATTTTGGTTTTACAACCCACAACTTTTCTATTTTGGTTCACTCTCAGCTGCAGGCTACTGATTTCAATGAAAAAAAAAAAAAAACGTCTGGTTTCTGCTTATAGCTCAATTGTGGTATGAGTAGTATTGACCAATCAATTTTAAGCGGGCTTTTTTGTATGCAGGTAAACATCCAGTTAGGAGTTCAGAAATGAAATCTTGTAACTCAACTCAGAAAGAAAAAAAAATATATATATATGTTAGTAATTTAGTTTTTGGGAGAAGGCTAGGAGCGTCACAACTGCACGCCACGGGATGCACGAATTGGACGGGTCCAGCAGCACACTACTTTGTTCTACTCCACTACAATTCAGCGGTTAACCTGGTATTTTTACTCCACTACATGTATTTTAGTTACTTTGCAGATTCTGATTATGATGTGAAATATAAACAACCCTTAAATCAGACTTTAGTTACACCTGAGTCACTTTCAGGGAAGGTGATTGTCAAGTGCCAAAATAAACTATGCAATATATTGGACGTTAAGTACTTTGTCAGACTTCATATTTATCTGTGGATAGCCGCAACGTTTTTTTCTTATTCAAAAGAAGACCTTAACTTAAAGTGCTCTTCAATGTTTAAATAAAGCCTTATTAGTTTGTCTGTTTTGCACATCCTCCTGTTAATACCTTTGGACGTCCTGCACTAAACTGTTTTATTGTAGAGATCAATCTTCTTGATATTTTCTATTCTATATTTCTTTCATGCCTTCCTTCTACTTTCCCCCAATTTTGTATGTAGGCTACTCTTAATATTTAAATGTTTTCATCAAATAAAACTTATTCAACAACAACATTCAATAACGTGCTTTAACCACCAGGCGGTGCAGGTTAAAAAAACAGTGGTGTAGTTAATAAAACATAATATGACTATTAACTTTATTGTGAAATTAGAACAGAACGGTAAAGGAAAATACAGTTTCAGTCTCTCGATTTGAAGCTTATGCATTGTACCATGAACCTGTATAGACCTGTAACGGTACGTCCACACAGCAGCTTTGAAAAAATCTTGAAAATCTTGGAGCTGGGCGTGTCTGAGAGCTTGGGGATTTTTTGCGAGCAACGCGACCAACAACCAATCACATGAATCTCCCGCCCCAACATACAAAGCAAAAAACCCCGGGGATTTTATGCGAGCAATATATATATATATAAACTCCCCAAACAGGCGAAAACCTACCAGTTTCACCCACTGTCTCTGCCACCTCCCTCCATGCCTGGTTCCTCCGGTTTGTATCCCGGTAAATAGTTCTGGTCGTAAAGAACCGGGTGATTTGCTACCGTAATTTCTCGTTTGGAATATGAGGAAATGAACTGCGGTCTGGCTCTCCCAGCTTGCACGCGGTTTGATTGGCTAGCGCTTGTACTGTCAGATTTGCATAAACGGGCAAGCTGGGAGAGCCAGACCGCAGTTCATTTCCTCATATTCCAAACGAGANCTCCTGTGGGGATGGTCCACAGTATTGAGTATGTAAGTCGCTTTGGATAAAAGCGTCTAATAAGTGACATGTAATGTAATATACACATTAATATCTGATATATTACACTATATAATATATATATACACATTATCAGCTATAATATTTCACATATTTTAGTTCTATAGAACAACAATTTGTGAAATATTATAGCAATATCCTGTACAATTATGTGAAAACATGAATAAAACTACACATCCTCAGATGTTATACATACATAAGTGTCCTACACCAATAATACAAAGTTATTATGGCATTGTATGCTGTGTGTTATTTGTAACATCTTCAGAAAC